CACCTCTGTATCCTGGGTCTCCCAAGGGAGGTCAGCACCAGTGGGTGCTCATGGGCAAGGTTACCTGGTGTGCTCTCCTCTGCTCTGGCAGATGTTGTCACTGGGGTGGTCACCTCTGCTGGGCTGGACACGTCTGGTGTGGCTGTGGATGGCTCTGTGGTGGTCATGTCCAGTGGGGGGGATGCCCCTATTAGGGAGGTCATTAGTTCAAGGGCAATGGACACGGCAAAGGACATGACAGACAGAGCTGGAGGACTAATGCCATAAGGGAGTGTGGAGCTCTGTCCTGCTGCTCTCCCATGCAGACACCAGCCAGACATAACTCCAGTCCTGCCCCATCCTCCCAAAAAAAATGATCCCACAATGCTGCTCTTTGTCACCCCAGCAGGAAGTGTGGAGAGCCTGCTGAGCCCTGGCTGTGCAAAAATTCAGCTTTTGCAAGACATGGGCTACCAGCTCCAGGAAGCAGAAGACCCCAACCTCGCCTCTGTGCCCTGGCTCTCCCAAGGCAGCTCAGCAGGGCTGATCTCAGAGGACAGATCCAGAACCCACTCAGAATGATTGCAAAAAATCTCGTGGTCTTTGCCACCCACCCACCTGCACAGACGACACTGGCATCCTCCACGTGCCCACAGTTGTGCACTCCCCAGCCGTTGTGCCTGCACATCTGCAGGGAGGGCTCGTCCCCACGGCACTGCACGTCGTCCAGGAAGATGCGCCCCGAGCCCAGGCCAAAGTGGGCAGTTTGTGGGGCTCCCAAGGCCTCCCCACAGCCCAGCTGCCGACACACCACCTGGGCATCCCGCAGGTCCCACTGGTCATCACACACCGTGCCCCACGTGCTGCCGTCGTACAGCTCCACGCGGCCCTCGCAGCCGTTCCTGCCGCCCGACAGGCGCAGGCTGGCACCTGGCACGGGGAACATGGATGAGGGGCAGGGGCACCCCAGCCTGGCATCCACAGCCCACACCTCCCCAGCTGCCTTGGACATTGCGCCCCATTGACCTAAACCGGGGGTGGTTCAGTCCCAAACGGACCAGGGGAGGTCAGGGATGGAGCAAAGACCCCAGGTGTGCAGATGGCAGATTTGTCCTGTCCAGGGATCTCCTGCTGGGGGTCTGAGGGAACTGCCTGAGGGCAGAGGTCATCAAAAAACGAAGTCATTTGCAGAAAAGCCCTATGGAACCCTTGAGATTGACCCATCCCCTGAGGGGGAAAACTCATGCCTCCTGTAGATGTGAAGGGCAGAAAGGACCAGCAGTCATGCACTGAGCAGGATCAGCCAAGGAGGAAGCCCCTAACCTCCTGTTATGCCAGACTGGGGCCCACTACAAAGCTGAACCTTAGCTGGTTGAGCAGGGATTACCTGTTGTGAATGGCCATTGTGCAGGAGGGGTTGGATGGGAGGCTGCAAGAAAGAAGAGGCAGTGAATGAACAGGCAGGGAGATTGTGGGAATGGATCGACAGGAATATACACATAGCCATGGACATGACATAAAAAGCCAGGCTGGAGAACTAAAGGGGAAATGGGGAGTGGACCCTGTCTTTCCCCCACCCATACACCAGCCTGACATGTCTCCAATCCTGCCCTGTCCTCCAAAAAACAATCCCACCATC